TTGTTTTTTGCAAAAAAAGAGAGTTTAAGGCACAGGTCGCTGCTCTACCCTTGTTTATTTTTTCCCTGATTTCATCTGCGCTATTTCCCTTCTTATTGAGAATGACCCCCAAATATTTGCAAAATTGTACGCCTTTGATTTTGTCGTCTTCCAAGACTAGGTCACATATTTCATCTGTTTTCACTGATAGATATTCACATTTTGTCATATTCATGTTTAGACCTGCCACCTTATATTCTTCTTGCAGTTTTCTTACCATATAGCTAAGATCGTAGCTATCTTCGGCAATTACTACCTGGTCATCCGCAAAGAAAAGTGTATATAGCGAGTTTTCTTCCACCGTTATTCCCATTCTACATTTTTTTACCCATTTCACTAAGGATCTGTCCAAATAGGATATAGGTCAAATATCTAAATAAAGCAGGAAAACTTTATTATTTCTGGAATTCTGTACATTCCACGATTATTTAAAATTGCTGGTTCGTTGAACTTCTTCACAATATCAGTATACTCATACCATATTGCATCTTCTTTATTTGGCCATTTCCACGAATTGCTGTTTACCATAACACTTACAAATGCCTTATTTTCTTCTACTTCTTTTATTTTTCCCGGGTAGTGTTGATCTTCATAAATAACAATAACATGGTCACTTTCTTTTAAATGAGATTTGTTGAATGGTGGAACAATAGCTGGAATGTCATCACCACTATCAGATTCCAAATTAAGTTGCTCATCAGATAGAGATGTTTTAGAATCTGAATTATCCTTGAAACGTTTTGTTTTTTTTTTTTTCATTCAGAATCTTCTTTTCATCAAAATCTGAATTTTCCTTGTAATTCCACTTTGTTTTTTTCTTGCAGAATCTTTTTTTCGTCTCGTTTTCGTTTTCGCTCTTGCTTTTCCTTTTTTTAAATTCTTTTTCCATTTTTTTTTCTTTAAATGGTATTGTTTCTGAAGTATTGAGTGTATTGTGTATTGAGTCGAAGCAGCACTCAACAAATGGAAGAAAAAATGTATGAATATGGGCATACCACTAATGGACTTAACTTTGTACACTTTGTGCTTTGCGGATGACCAGGTCATCATCGAACAGGACTCTGAAGACCTTAGTTACATGATGCAAAAAATATTAGAATAGTTTACAGAGTGGGGTTTGGAAGTGAATATAGAAAAAACTGAGTACATGATTATCGGAGGAGATCAACATAACCTTGTCGTAGAGGAAAATCAAGAGATCAAAATATGTGACGACTACAAATACCTAGGGGTAAAGATCACTCAGGACGGAAAATTAGATGCAGCCATTAAGGAACGAAATATACAGGGTAGGAAAGGCATAGCCTTACTACACAGCGTACTGTTGGATAAAAGCATCTCTAAGGAAAATAAAAAAAGAATATACAACACCATAATAAAAAGTATCACAACATATTGATGCGAAGTGTGGCCCCTAAAAGACAGAACAGAGAAAATGCTTAGAGCAACAGAAATGGACTTCTGGAGCCGCTAGGCGGGAATCTCTAGAAGCGACAGAATAACAAACGAGAGAGTCCGAGAAATCATGAGGGTTACACATGATCTTGTTGATGACATCAAAATGACACAATTCAGATGGTACGGACATGTAAGGAGAATGCTGTAGTAGAATAGAATACCAACTCAAGTTCTTGAATGGCAATCAATTAATGTATAATCAGATCATTCTACATATATTTACTGAATTATTAATAGAGATTTAAACTATTTTTCAGTATGAAGTTTTATTTATTTAATACCATCGTGACTAGTTAAAATACCAAGTGTTAAGTATGGTTAAACTCGTATTGAGATGAGGATTCCTGCAAGTTTAAGATTTGAAATCTCCATATTGCAGAAGAAGCATATTCCGGTTTTTGTACAAATCCGACTATTCATTTAAGAGATAGTTGAAGGGGTAAGAACCAAAAAGATCTAACTGCCGTTATGTTCAATTGGAGATATTCAATGTTAAAGTTAATTCTTCTTCTTCTACGGCACTACAGCCCAAAATGAGCCTTGGCCTCCTTTATTTTTTGCCTCCACCCTTGTCTGTCTGTGGCTGCTCTTCTCCATACACGGACTCCTAAAAGTGCTTGTGCGTCGCTGCTTACTGTGTCTTCCCAGCGCTTTCTTGGCTTTCCAACTGGTCTCTTTCCCTGCATTCTGGCGTTCAGTGCTCGTTTTGGTAGCCTATCCTCTCCCATTCGTATCACATGTCCGGCCCATTGCAATCTTTGTATTCTGTTAAAGTTAATTGCTTATTGTAAAATCTGTAAAGACATTTTGTATAAGGTTTTTAAGAAAAAAAGCGCATAATATATTTACGTGTTTAATTAAGATTCACAAATGTTGTTACATGCTTGATTAACAAAAAAAAGTCACTTAGACCTCTTTGGTTCTAATCTTTTTTAGATATTTTTTTAGAAAACGATGATTTTCCTAATAAGAAAACTTTATTGCAATAGTAAACATAAAAAAATATTAATTGTCATATTGTCATTATTTTCTTCTTGGACATTTTCTTCCGTTTGAGTTTCCGTCGTTGGCTTACTTTTTGTTGAATTTTTATTCTTTTTGGGTTGATGGGCCATATTTTGGTAAAAGGTATGATAAACTGGGGGAATAAAAGATAACAGATAAATAAGATTTTCCCACTTAGCATATGGAATTTCCAAAACGGCTCTATACAGGGGTTGGTTTAAATTTTCCACAGATAAATTTGGTCTACCTACGTTAAGTAATAAACACCTTTTAGATTGGAAAGCAAGGCCAGTATTTGGATGCCTCGTTGTATGGAACACAAGGAATAAAAAGTTTTTGTTACTAAATCTGTCCAATGTTCTGGCATAAAAATTTTTAAGGATAGCTTTCTTCTTTTCTTGATTCTAGCAAAAGAACGGTCGAATTCCATATACGAATGTCCTGGCTCACAAAATGTATGTTGTATTATTTTCAAAGTAGTACTTTAAACCAAAAACATAAATAATTTAGCAATGTTCTTATTTTTATTTTGGCCATTACATTGGTTACTGTAGCACATCAGTTCTTCGACAGTTGGTGGCAAATCTTTTATGTACTGCAAAAAAAAAATTAATAATAAACACTGACTAAGTAAGGTAAAGCTTTACCTTAATAAGACATGATCCAATTTCTTGGGATCCTCGTTAGCCAATGGTCTCATTCCAGACGTACGTAAAGGATATTCCACCAATAAGGTCATGGACACAGAAGTTATACGTGCATAACTGACGTAGATAGTAAACTTTATTTGTTGAAAGTAACGGTGTTGGAAGAGTTTTCTGTAGATTAAAACACACTGCACGAACTTTTTCTGGATTTACCCTTCCATGTTCTATGTCTAATTTCTTGCCATTTGTTACACTTTCTACCTTCCTTTGATGGAGTTCTAATTCGGCTTTGATTTTAGCCAACACTTCCAAATCGACAGAATTTTGTATTATAGTATTCAATCGGTCACATATATGGCACGTATCAGAATGGACTTGTGGAATTTTAGATTAAACTCTGCACCGAAAATTTTTCTGTAATATGATTTTTTAACAGGAATTCTATTTGATTCTTTGCACCACTCTATATACATTAAGTGCATTTTTTTATATTTAAATCGTCTGGAAGGTAACTTGAATTATTGTTCTGAGTCCGCGAATAATGGTTCTTATAGCGGGGAAACATTTTTATGTGACTTATGACATCATTGTGAATATTCGGGCCAATTTTATTCGAAGGAGTGTAAGATCCTCGTTTGTCAGGTTCAGTAATACCTTCAGAAGTTTTTTTTGGCAAACAATTCGGAGTCTTCTGTTGGATATGTCAAATGTACGAAGAAAATACTCCACGCAGACTCTAAACTTCATAAGACGTAATATTGTGGCAAAATTTTTATGCGAAACCGCCCCACTGTTAGGTCGCTTATATCCGTTTTACTTATACAAGATGCTAAATACTGCATTTGCAAATCATACGTTTGTATTTCATAAAACTTAGTGAATAGATTTATTTTCTTTTGTTCAGATATTTTGTCATACTCATATCTACAACGATGGTCATATGGTTTTAACACCTTCTTTGTAATCTTTTTTCCTTTACTAGTCACATACTCATTGCCACTTATTCTAGCCCGCTTTCTTTGCCGCTTCTTCCATTTACCCATATCCTTATTCCTTTTTCTGGTATTTTTTGGGGTAACTGTAATAAATAGCAAGCATTATTATTACTGTTTGTCAGCACTATCAAAATAACATACCATGAATACCACTAGTACAATGTCTATTCTCCGTCCCACTAATTTCCGATTCAACATATTCTATAGATTCATCAAAATCCTCGGATGGGTAGTATTCACTATCCTCGTCTGCTTCGAAGGGGTCGTGTTCACTATCATCCGAATCTAAGCTATAGCTTACTCCACCTAAAAATATTTTAGGTTAGGTTTAATTTGAATTTAAAAAATCCTATAAATATAAATTATTTAATTAAATATCTATATTCTTTAAAATTCTAAATTTACCTGAGGCAATTCTCTTTTCTGTAGTCATGTTCAAACACTATAAACTTAATATTTCACTTCGAAAACTACACTAAACTTGCAAGCCACAACGTGGATAATAATCAACAACTGATAATAAATTTAGCGGCATAATGGTCTAAGCGCGCTTGGACCTCTTTGCCACTAATTAAAACAGGACATCTGTAAACCTAATTTTTCTCGTTACCAAGAGATGGCGCAAAACGTTTAAAAATCAATTGGATAATTTTCCAGTAAGTAATGTTTAGTTTTAACTTTGGATATTTGCACTTAACTCATTAAAAAAAATGTCACTTAGACCCTTTTGGTTCTTACCCCTTCAGTTATGAGTATTTGTAGAACATTGGCATCGATCTAAGAACTAATATTATGTGCCTGACACAATACATAAAGTCAATAAAAAATATTAAAGATAACTGAAAATAGTTCTTACTTATTTCTAAAATCAGTAATATTGTGTAATATAACATCAACATCAGTTAAATTGTTTATTTTACTTCTATCAAATATCCTTTCTTTTCTTTTAGTTTCATCGACATCTAACAAAAATACTTGATCAGGTTTAAGCAAGTCTTCGGGCCATGTATAAATTCTATCACCTTTGGGAGGCATCGTATATTGTTTTGGTTTGGTTTGTATTGCATAAGCTATCCAATACGAGGCAGATGAATGCCAGAACCTAAAACATACCATTGTAAATATCTAAAAAATATAATAATAATGATATTTACATTTTTTTTATTATTAATAAAAATGGAAGCAATAAGTAAATAAAATGTTTATAGTAGTTAGAGAAAGAGATAGGTAGTCCAGTGACATTATTCCGTATTTGATTACTTGTTCCTGTTATGAGTAGTTTGCTGACTTTTTCTGCCTTGTAAAACACGTGTTGTAAAAGTTTTGTTTGTTCCAAACAACAGATATTTCCATTGGTGGTTAAATGTTCGTGGTTAAAAAATAATTAAAGAAAAACGTAATATAAGTGTAAAAATGACATTTGTAAACATACAATGGACATCGCAGAACATATAATAAATTAGGTCATAAAATAAAACCCTAACGAGAAAAATGTAGACCCTGAGATAGGAAAGAAGCTTTCATTCATCACGCATCAAACATTCTCACAAACCACTTATGCCAAGACCTCATAAAATGAATATGAATATAAACGTAATCTTAAATACCCTTAGTGATAAAAGTGCAGACGTCAAACCAATAAAGGTGCAGAATTTTCTAGATTCGAGAAATCGACTGACACCATGTTCCGCAAGCTCCGACGATTAATAGTGCCATGCACACAGTTTCCTCAGGATATCGGAAATACATGGTCTAAAGAAATCTAGGCTCAGTGTATAGCTCCATTTTATTGGCGGCGCCATACTTAAAGGTTTAGAACCTTCCTGGCTGATAGCAATGTCTGCGACAAATATTCGATTACCCTACTGTGCGACAAGGTAAGGTATTTTCAGAGTCCCATTTTGGCACCTTATTCTAGGCTCTACATATTAACACTTTCTTTTCAACTGCTTTTCGAAGACACGTAATAAGCTGGTCATGTCTGGCTACGTCTGCATCCCATTCAGCACCGTCGCTCATGTGGTGGGTTTGACAAGATGCCTCTGGTTAGCAGTAGATTTTCTCTCAGCTGAATTTCCTTATTATAATCTCTTCCCGACCAGTAAGGCGGTGGATCGGTTATCCAGTTAGAGCTTTAGAAGTGTGAAGCGCATTGATAAAGATCGTTATCACTATAGCCGACTATAAGCTTCTGGTTCAACTTATGGGCAATCGATGGTGTACTTTCTGCTTTTGTTTCGTTTTATTTCAAGATTTTCTTCCAGAAACCTGACATGTATGGTAGGGAGAGGGTAATTGTAGCAGCTTTGGTTCCTAAGCTTATTAATTCAGTCACTCTCCTGCTCATGATAGCCGGGATGTGCATGGCCATGGTCATGACGCTCAGACCCTCTTTTGTAAGAGCATTTATGTAGGCATCTGCACACGTTTGATCTAGGAAAAGATTTTTCGTAGGGCTATACGCACGGCCCTGTCAACACTCTTCAGCGTTTTCATCATGATCGAAGAAATTTGCAGTTTGTCAAAATATCTCGGTAGTAGGTAAGACTTCAGGACAAGCTGTTTCTCTGCTGGTTTCAGCCTCGCTCATTAAATACGATTAAGATGAATCTACAGCTGATTGAAGGCTACCTTGGTTTTCCGAGTGCATTGAAGCTTCGACCTAGATATCCAACCAGCTTACTCTGTTGCAACTAAGGAAATCTGTCGTTGCCAACAGAGAAGAGAGAACACGTTACGCAGTAAAAGTGCATATTCCAGAATTGGGGTCTTCCTATCATCTGAAATCGGATAGGAAAACTAGGCATGTCTTCTTCGAGCTTGCATATCAGCTCATTGACCATTATATTGGAAAAGTATGTTGTTTACTATTGTACACCAGTTAATGTACGAGTCCATCATGTGCCGCTGAAATGTCGCATCTACCCCGAAGCCATTTATTGCATGTTCAAATGATTGCTGAGAGACTGCGTCGAAAGCTTTTTAAAGATCAATCGATAAATTATATGGACGATGGCCTCTTCTCCTTTCCTTGATAAATATTTAAAGCCTCAAATTATTCAAAAGAACGCCATCTACCTCCTACATCCTCTCTATTTTTTGTGATCATCTAGTACCGTAAGCGTCTTCCCAAGTATGCGTTGGAGCTCCCTTATAATTACCGAAGAAATGGTTACAGAGCTCCAATTACCTCCCTACAGCGGATCGCTACCCTGTTGTATCAAGGTGTGCCTGCAATCTTTTATTACTTTCGAAGTGACTCCAAACTAGAGCATGGTATTATAGACGAGAACCAATTTCTAAATGGGAACCTTGAGCGGCTCCTTGCTCAAGGAAAAATGCGCATCTTGATGGATAATCTCCTACATAGGACACATTCAAATAAAGTCAGTTAGGACTACGTTAACAAAATAGCGTCCAATTTTCAGTTAATATCAGAAGAGATGTTTCCCGAAACAGAGGGTGTCTTACTCGCTATTTAGGACTATTCAAGTTATTCTGACCAAAACTACCTGAAATATATTTTCAAATATTTAAAGATACACTACAAATGCGGATATAAGTGCCAAGCCCAAGTTTATTTAAAGGTTTAATGGGTTGCTGTCAGGAGTTTTTTCAATATATCTTAAAGAACAACCGGCATGACTTAACAAAATTTCTTCACCAAAAACTAGACAAAAAACTAAATCTTCTGTAAACTACCCATCCCCATTATTATCAATACGTCCATAACAGTATGCTTAAAAAAGACATTTACAAGCTACACTACTGACCAACGAAATATATGATAATCTAGTAATCGAAGTAGAACGTTCTATATAAGAGTTTAATGTTGTAAACGTACTGAACCGGCCACTGCTACCAAAAATAGGCTTTTGTAACGCTAAAGGTTTTATAACTCTAAATAGACTAATTACTTATTGACTGAACATTGAAGTATCTTTAAAACATATTGATCTACTGTGCTGCAACGATAATTCCTAATGTTGTAAGTATTAACATCAGAACACGACGTGGGTCGAACTTCAGAAGGAGTGATACTAGATCGCCTCTATAAAAAAATGATTGTTTCTCTGAGAACTCAATTCTACTGTAGAATGTGCCAATAAATCGTATCCAAACCAGGCAGAAAGTTATGAGTTTGAAGAAAATTAACTTTTAACGCCAGCGACTCTTAACACCAGTGGTAAGTAGATTGAAGAAACGAGGTACAAATGTCAATGTTGTAACATTTAGATTTATTTCGATTTACATTGTATATGTTAAAACACCGAAAAATATTTTCAATCTATTTACGTAGCTGAGATGGATAATATAATTATTTTAAGTTTGTTTATATAACACAGATAGTATTTCTTTATGTCGATTCCGCTTAATATTGCGCATCAAATAAATATACACTTGGTGAGAACGTAACACGGTGAAAAGAATTATATCATTCTACGATAGAATTATATATAGCGAATTATATATGGTCCTTGCAGGGACAGCGTGACAAATGAATGGAGGAGCAGATACAACAATGAAATAGAGACTCTCTTCGGGAAAGGAAACATCGTAAGATAGATAAAAGCCAATAGATTAAGATGGACAGGCCACGTGGTACGGAGTGATGACGACAGACTGATTAGCAATGTGTTTTGGGAAATACCAAATGGTAAAAGATCGACAGGAAGGCCTAGAAAAAGGTGGAAAGGCGCAGTCAGGTAAGACCTGGAGAAGATGGAAGTAAGGCCATGAGAAATAATAGCACAGGATCGTAATCAATGGAAGGCAATAGTAAACGCGGAAAAAACTCACGAAGAGTTGTAAAAGCCAATGATGATGATGATTCTACGATAGAAAGCCAAATCATTTGGTTTTATTGTTTAGTCCATATTTTCTTTAATTTCGTTATTGTTTTTCCGTTATTCGTTTATTTTATATTGTAATCCAGGATAATCCGAAGCCCGAATCATTGTTCTACCTCTCCAGGACTTTTTGTTGTGTTCCATGGTCGTCCCAGACGATTTACAGTTTGTGTGGAACAGTGTTTTTGATCTAATTTCAATCACAAAAACTTTTTAAAGGAAATACCAGCCAGAGGCAATTTTTGTTAAAATTTTTCCAAGTATAAACAAACAATGTTTCATTAATAAAAACTTTGCTTTCATGAATAAAAAATTGTAAATGAATAAAACTATAAGTTTAATGGATTAGCTAATTGTCATATTAGTCTTCTTTTAAATGCAATTAATTTTAAAATTTAATTCATATTTTAAAAATGTTATATGTTGATATTTTATTTCGACATATGGGAGTTAGTCGTTTTTCTAACAATTGGTACATAACCATAAATTTGAATTTTTTTATTTAAAGGTTAACCTCTATGCAAGCTTCGTTGAGAAATCTAGATATTCCCATTTAAATAATAATTTAAATTCCTATAAGTATCACCGCCGTCTGGAGCTTGTTGTAAATCGTGACAGATGTAAGGTTTGTTGATAAATTTTGTTAATATTATTTGTTATAACTGTTGATGTGAAGTAATAATAAATATGTAATGTAGAATTTGTAGAATTATTTCCTATAAAAAGATTTTTACCCATTAATATTTTTTAGGAAATAAAAAACCTTTCTTTCTATCCGGTGAGAGAATTCTTTTAAACGGCGTCCAAATTCAAAAATTTTGGGAACCTTCTTGTATTTTATTTGCCAGGAAATCTATGTAAGTATTTTTTAAATTTATTTCTTTGTAGTTATCTCTTTCCAGCCCCTTTATTCACTTACTTGCGACCCAGCTCTCCAACCAAACCAGCGGATGGCGTTTGCAAACGTTTTGGTTTGTTTGCTTACCCTATCTTCAACCCAGTAATTGCTCAGTCCCCACTTTTAACCCCCTATAAGTGATACCCAATGTGGTAGGCAAATTTTATCGTTACAATGTTACCGTTGTACTTCCTACGAACGTTTCACTATTGAATAAGTTAGGAATGACATCAAAAATTTTCGGAACTAGAAATACCTAGAACCAGACAGAGTACATAAATTTTTGGTTTTACAACTTGCAGAATGGATATGAATGCTTAGTTATATTAACTTAATATGGATCAATGTTTAATA